AAGCAATTTAAACGAAATTTCTATGGTAAGTCCCTTTAATAAAAGCAAACAAAATTCATGCGCAAAAATCGTGTTGCGCATGCGCAGAAATGCAATTTTCTAATTTATGGAACAATTAAAACGAAATTTGGATGGTAGGTCCTCCTAATAAAAGAAAACAAAATGCATGCGCAAAAAATCGAGTTGCGCATGTGCAACATCAAACTTTCTTATTTATGGAGCAATTTTAACGAAAATTGGATGGTAGGTCCCTCTAATAAAAGCAAACAAAATGCATGCGCAAAAATCGTGTTGCGCATGCGCAGAAATGCAACTTTCTTATTTATGGAACAATTTTAACGAAATTTAGATGGTAGGTCCTTTTAATAAAAGCTAACAAAATGCATGCGCAAAAAATAGTGTTGCGCATGTGCAACATCCAACTTTCTTATTTATGGAGCAATTTTAACGAAATTTGGATGGTAGGTCCCTCTAATAAAAGCAAACAAAATGCATGCGTAAAAAATGCACCTGTTGACGTTTTAGATCATTTTAAGCAACTTTTAAAGAATAAATTTTTCCCGTCTGTAAGTGCGTACATATGTTGGCAATTTTTGGTTTCAGCTAGGAAGCTACTCTGTCAAGAATTTGACACCTGGTTTTTAATTCATCACAGCCTACTTAATTAAAATCGAGATTAAAATATAAAAACCGTTGATATAACTGGTATCTTATTTTCAATATTATGTTATGATGGCTCGTTGAAAAGAGAATTAAAAAATCTATCAAGTAATCTAAAAATCCCATATGGCGCCTATTTAACTTTAGGAAGTTGTTAAATGTTCCTCAAAAGTAGCCATCTTGAATTTTTTTTTACCTCAATTCTAAATTAAACGTATCAAAGACAGTAACTTTTATATAAAACTTTTTTTTATATCTCTTATACTTTCGATGATATAAGACATTCAAGGAAATGACCAATTTTAGTTTTTTTGAATTTACGTCGAACCTATGCGACATTTTGAATTTCCAAAAGGAAATTTTAATTAAGCATCTAAAAATACAAAACATTGCCCATTTAACCAATTCTCTATCCTTAATAATAACAAAGTTATCCATGCAATCCCGCCCGATCTGGGACACACTGTATACCGCGATCTATAACACTTCGCACCCAACACCGCACAGCGCGGTTATAAATATTACTCACTCGAAAGACAAAAACCACCGTTGCATTTGTTTCATACTTCGTTTTATACCGGTTAGGTTCCTAATTGTGGGCGCCGAGGCGGCTGCATATTGCGCCTACTCCGAGCAGTAAAGCTCATATTGTATTTTACGAGGTATTATTATACGTATTGCACAAATATTGCACGCATTGCACAAATATTGCACACATTGCACAAGTATTGCCCACATTGCACAAGTATTGCACGCATTGCATAGACATTGCACACATTGCACAAATATTGCACGCATTGCACACATTGCACAAACATTGCATTACTACCCGCCCACCTATTGCACACAGTGATTAACCCCTCGATATTTGTATACCCTCCACTATTTTTCATTAGACTGTATCGACTTCGACGATAGGCGGCTCGTTTGAAAGAGAATGGGGTAAGGTATTTTTTCTTGGTCCTAGCATTAATATTATTAGGAGGAAAATACGCTCTCGTCATTTATGTTTGCATAATGAGTAATAACTTTTTAACTTGTTTCATATCGCCCGTAAAAAAGTACATATTATATTGAGTACCGTTTTTTAATAGGAATACAACGATATACAGCACACAAAAAAATTGGAAACTCTTTGGTTCAACAGAATGATATGCAGTATGCACTTCCGCACAACGCCATATTTGTGCGAGAATTACCTACCGGACAAATTTCCTGGAAACTGGAAAATATATCGATAAGGATTTTCGCACAAATATGGCAATGTGCGCGAGTGCACCATTTTGTTGAACCAAGAGTTTCCAACTTTTGTATTGTGTGCCACACATCGTTGTTAAAAACGTGTCCTACGTCGGCGATGAGATGAGCGATCGCTAAATCGCCTCATCAGAATTCGGAAACAACAAACTAATATATGCTACTTGAAAATAATATTGTCTTGTAAATAAATATGAAACCTATTCTGTAAATTAGTTTTTAAGTTAAATGGCCAACAAATTTTATGCTAGGTAATTAGGTTAGAAGAAACTTTGTCTGAATGACCTCTGCAATGTAATCAAAAGCTCTATATGTTATGAAATTCGCCTATATTCTTTCTCATAAAATAAATTTCGTTCGTCGATGTTCTTTATTTTTACACATGTTCTTCTCCAACACCTACGTAAAAAATGAAAAAAGGGTTCAGAGGCGAGTAACTTTAGCGCATTTTCCAAAAATTGATCAGTACTTCCCGAATATGATGGACTATTTATGTGAACAAAGGAAAATAAGAGAAGGTTCTTGTAAATAAGAAACTTAGCATTGCCCAATCTTTTTTTCAATTTCGTTCAACCGATAAGTTTAATCTTTTTCCATACATTAGATGTAAAATTGGTCCGATCATTACAATGATATCGATATCGATCCGATCTAACAGCAGTACTAACGTAATTGCGCAACAGTTTGTAGTATTCCCAGTGACTTGCCTTTTTTTTGTTCTTTTAAACCTAGTTAAGGCTTTATCTCTGAGAGAGATCATAAATTTAATATTATCAGTAAGCAGGGCAGGTGTTTTAGAGACCTTAACTGTTTTACATACTGTGTATTTATCAAACAACTGAAGTATATTTGTTTGTTTGTGAATAATTTCCTGGATGCTACTATGATCAAAAAAATTTATGTAGGTATGCAGATGATCTTAAGATAATTAAGATCTAGAATATGCATCCTTAATTTTAGAGACTACGTGCAATAAATACATTATACCGGGTGGTGCCTAGCGCGACGCAGCATAGGGATTTCAATGGTAATTTCTTTATAGTCAATTACTAGCTCCCCTAATTGTTTTAGAGCAAAAGTCTAAATAAGTTTTTTTTAGAGAAAAATAGTATATTAAGATACAAGTGTATAATCAAGTCTTTAAAGCACGCGCAACGAGTTTAAGGGCACGACGCAAAGCGGAGTGCTTTTAACGTTGCAAGTGCTTTAAAGACCAATTATACACGTGTATCTTATAGTATTTTTTATTATACCTGCAGTATAATTCAAAAATAGGAAATTCAATGACATCATATTGACGTTATACTCGAATACATGTCTAATTAAGTGGGCTGGGTGTTCGTAATTTCACGATTGCCATGGAAATGTCACTTGACGTTTGCTTATAAAAATTGTCGTCTTTGTGAATAAAACGATTTCCGTTGAAAAAGATAATACACCGTCCATTAAATCGCTTGTAAAATCTAAACAAACGTTGGTAGGTGTAAAATCTCAATCCAGTAAAGCCTATTATCCTCGCTATTATCAAGCATATGAAAAGTTGTTTCCATGGATGAACAGGAAGTTACTTACGAATAAAGTCTTAAATATATCGATAATGCTGGCATATATGAAGGAAATGTCAAAGGTATTTAAATCTTCTATCTTTTGATGCATTCATTCAAAACTTCACTTATTGCTGGGACTAAAAAGTGGAACAGATTTGGAAGCATACCCTAAATTACCCGCGTTTGTAAAAGCTTCAACCAAAGGATAGGTACATACAAGCCAAAGAAATGTTCTGCATTTACAGAAAGCGACGTAGGAAGATTTTTTATTTCACCTAGATGACAGTTTCAAAAGTCATACTTGAAGTATCGTTACTTAGCAACTTTAAAGCACGTGTGTTTTAAAGGCCTTTTTTCGCACGCATTTGAGTGTTTAAACCGGAGATTGTGATTCAGGTATAATAAAAAATACTGAATCTGTTCACGCTATTACTCATAATTTTCCGTTTTTCAAAACCGTAGAAATCGACAAAATAAAAAGTTTCATTTTACAATATATCAAATATGCCTTGGAATTACCTAAAAAAACAGCAATCACGTTTCATTATTTGCCTTTGACGTTTATTAAATTTGGCTGCAGTAGCGGAAAATCCGAATATAAGTTTAGGAACAAATTTGCTTCAAATCAGTTTTTTTTCTTCGATTATGTAGGTACTCTGATTCTCACTGATAAACAAATAGTATCTGATGCAGCATCACATTCTCTAAAAAAACATTACCCAATTGCCGCTTTTTCTTGCATCGGATAGTTGTAACAGAATTAAATATGAAAATCGTTCGACGTCAAACAACGATAACTTACATGCGATGCGCTTGTAGTTTGTTAAAAGATTCCAAAGCATCACTGATTTATAAAAATGTAATTTTTTATTTTGTCAATTTCTACGGTTTTGAAAAATGGAAAATTATAACTAAAAGTATGAACAGATGCAGTATTTTTTTCTCTAAAAAAAAAAACTTATTTAGACTTTTGCTCTAAAATAATTAGGGGAGTGCTAGTAATTGACTATAAAGAAATTAACATTGAAATCCCTATGCTGCGTTGCGCTAGGCACCACCCTGTATATAGATGCTTTGGAACGAGTTTAGCGAAAGTATTTTAAGTTCGTGTCTTATAAAGCAGCTGGCGATTAAACCAGTGTTACTTTATGGTGGGTTCCAGAGAACTGAGATTTTGCGGACAACATAAAGGCAGATGAGCTGGTAAAACTAGGTGCCAAACTTATGCCAAAAGGTCCAGAGCCTGGGTTTGAATCCCAGATAAGGCATGGCCGTTTGTAATTGTATAGTGGGTTGAGTGAGAAGAGTAGCTACTTATTAGCTATCGCTCTGCCCACTATAAAATAAATGGCAATAAAACAAAATTATAAAAATATTGTAGCACATAAAAATTGGAGCATGCATCCCACAGCCAGCGACAGACTAAGCAATTTATCAAGGCCTTGTTGCAGAATTGAGAACTCCCATCTAGGTATGTAAATTATATAAATTTGAAAGAATATAAAATATAGGTATCTAATAATAAAACTTACTAACCACTCTTATTCTGATAGTCTAAAAGGCATTGTTTCAGTTTGTACTCGGATCTACCGGCAATTCCCCATTTAACATTACTGCCACCTAGTGAGCTAAATTTATCTATAGATTCTATACAATGCTTTCCGGTGAATCCAGATGCTCCAAACAGCACAATATCTAACCGATTAGCCATATTCACAAAATGATCTGCAACAAAAGTGAGCAGAAATTAAAAAAAAATGGTTATTATGTTCCTTACTAAACTATAGGTAGGTATAAAAGATGCTTACATTTAAATAATGGACAAAGTTTTTGAAATCTTGGTTAATTAGGGCTGATTAGCAAACCGCTTATCAGTATCATGACTTATAAAAACCTACTATGCCAATAAAAACGAACAAGGTTAGGCACATCATTCCCTCACCCCCTACCAGAATTAAAACATCATTCTCTCAATAAAAAAATATAATAGCCAATTTCTAATACAATAAGCAAATAAGGCAACTTTTTTTACCCGCAAAAA